GAGAGAGAGAGAGAGAGAGAGAGACAGAGAGACAGAGACAGAGACAGACAGAGACAGAGAGAGAAAAGAAAGAAAGAACGGAGAGAGAGACAAAGAAAGAGAGAAAGAAAAGAGAGAAAGAAAAAGGATGATAACGGACAAGGGGGAGGAAGGTGGTTGAGGCTGGGGAGGGAGGGGAGGGGGGGGGAAGGTGGCCAGAGGGATAGGATCACGGAGAAGGTTGCTCAAGTATGTCCTATTTTGTCGGCTTCTCGGCGAGACTTATTAAGAAGTTGGAGCGTGATATCGAGAGGGAGAGGAAGGGGGGGGGGGGTTCGAGGGGGAGGTTGAAGGAGGAGAGGGGAACGCAGGGTGGATAAAGGGAGGGAAGGAGGGAGGGAAAGGAGAGAGAGAAGGAGGACGGGAAGGAGGAAGGAGAGAGAGGAGGAGAAAATGAAGAGAGAGAGGAGGGGAAAGGGGGAGAGAGAGAAGAGAGGAAGGAGAGAGAGGAGGGAAGGGAAGGAGGGAGGGAAGGAGAGAGAGGAGAAGAGAGGGAGAGAGATGATAGTCAAGAAGGGGATTAAAAGGAGAGATGGACGAATAAAAGAGGGAAGGAGAGAGAAAGAGATGAGAATAAAGGAGAGACGTGACCGTAAAAGGAGGGATAGGTCAAGGGAGAAGATGTTAGAGGAAGGAAAGAAGGAAGAGAGAGAAAGGCGAAGAGAAAAAGATGGCCACGTCGACCAACCGACAGACATGCTGACGGAGAGAAACAGAATCTCTCTTTTTTACGCCAGCTCTCGAAGCAGGATCGCCAGCTCAGAAAGCTCTGGGCGTGACTCACTCCTCCTCGCCCCCCTCCTCCTCCTCCTCCTCTTACTCCTCTTGTTCTAGTTCTTCTTCTTCGTCTTTATCTTCTTCATTTTCTTCTTGTACCACCACTTCCTCTTCTTCCTCTTTTTTTCTCCTACTTCTTTTTCATTTTCATCTGCTCCCTCCTCCTCATTCTCCCCATTCTCCTGCTTCTCCTTCTCCTCCTCCTTCTTCTCCTCCTCCTCCTCCTCCTCCTTCCCTCATCATCATCATCGTCCTCATCTCCCTCCTCCCCCTCCCCTCCTTCTCACCCACCCCTCCTCCCCCTCCCGTCCCCTCCCTCTCCTTCTCACCCACGAAGGTTTTCTCTTCGCGTGTCGTGGGCGTCCCGAGGCTTCCGCTGCCTGATGGGCGCATGACAGTTGTAAGTGTATCTGCCTACCGACTCAGAGACTCATTAAGGGCGTCGCTCCCATGGTATTGCGGTCGTCTTAACGGCCTTATCGACCAAACCGCAATTCCCAAGGAGAGATCCGGATGTGTTTGTGTTTGTTTATTTTTTTCGTGTCTTTTTTTTTTTTTTACATTTTTTGTTTTGTTATTTGTGTGGGGGGAAGGGGGAAGAGGAGAGGGGGGGGGGGCAGGATGTGTTTGTTTGTGTGCGGGTTTGGGGAGGATGTGTGTGTGCGTTCGTGTTCGTGTGTGTGTGTTGGTGTGCGTGCGTGTACGTGGGTCTGTGTGTGCGTGTGGTGGGTGCGTGTGTACGTTAGATATTTTTTTTGTATTTCTTTCTTCTCTCTTTCTCTATCTATCTATCACCTATCTATCTATCAATATATCTATCTATCTCTCTCCCTCCCCTCCTCTCCCTCCCCCTCCTCTCCTTCTCCTCCTTCCCCTCCCTCTCTCCTTTCCTCTCCCTCTCCCCACCCTTCTCTCTCTCCCATTTTTTTTTATTATTATTCATAGGGGATGGGAAAGGAGGGAGGGAAGGGGAGGGAAGGGGAGGGGGGAGAGGGGGGGGACCGGATGTGGTGAAGGGTGACGGGCGGCGGAGTGCATCCCGACGACGCGTTACGGGCGCTGACGTAACGGGGGCCAAAGTGACGTCTGGCTGGGCGTTTTTAATTGGGGGGAATTTGGTGAAGGAGGAGAGGAGAAGGGGGGAGAGGGAGAGGGAGAGGGAAGGGAGAGAGGGAAAATGAGAGGGGGGGAAGAGAAGGAAGGAGGAAGGGAAGGGAGAGAGAGAGAGAAAAGAGAGAGAGAAATGAGAGGGAGAGAGAGAGAGAGAGGAGAGGGGCGAGAGGGAGTGAGAGGAGGGGGAGAAAGAAGTGGGGTGGAGAGAGGTGAGGGAGAGGGGGAGAAAGGAGAAAGAAAGAAAAGAGAAAAAGAGCGAGTGAGAGAAAGAGAGAGAGAGAGAGGAGAGAGAGAGAGAGAGAGAGAAGAGAGAGAGAGAGAGAGAGAGAGAGAGAGAGAGAAGAGAGAGAGAGAGAGAGAGTCAGCCATAGAAACGGACAGACAGACGCAAAAAAAAAAACGACATATCGATGCGTGTATTGTGGTCATAAGATCAAGTCGGGATCAGAGGACCTCGGTGGCACTGAAGAAGCCCTAACGACCCCGTAATCGCCCCCTCGTGTTGGCACTCTGGTACTCTGGCACGGTGGCTTGGGCTTGGCACCGCTTTGAACACTAGAGAGCAGGAGGGAGGGGAAGGGGGGGGGAAGGGTATACATGTTTGATTTACATTTTTTTTTTTGGGGGGGGGGGGGGAAATTGAACTGTCTTACTTGCATCTTATTCTTCTCTCGCTCGTTCTCTCTCTCTCTCTCTCTCTCTCTTCTCTCTCTCTCCTCTCTCTCTCTCTCTCTCTCTCTCTCTCTCTCTCTCTCTCTCTCTCTCTCTCTCTCTCTCTCTCTCTCTCTCTCTCTCTCTCTCTCTCTCTTCTCTCTCTCTCTCTCTCTCTGTATCAATTTATATGTATTCTATCTATATATATATATATATAATATAATATAATATATATATTATATATATATAATATATATATATATATATATATATATATATAAATATATATATATATATAAATATATATATATATATATATATATATATATAGATATATATATATATATATATATTATATATATATATATATATATATATATATATATATATATATATATATATATATATATAGATATATATAGAGAGGAGAAGAGAGAGAGAGAGAGAGAGAGATTCCTAAAAGCAAGTTTGTCCTCTTTCTCCTTTATCTTCTCCATCTTTATCGCTTGTTGTCGCCTCCTATCTTTACCTTTTTTACCACTTGTGCTTGTATATAGTATATGAGTGTTACAATGTCCTTTTTTGGCGTCGCTCGCTGACCTCGATCAGACAGGGGGCAGTGGTCCTCCCCCCTCCCCATCCTTCATACCCCCTCCCCCCCCTCCCCAGCCCTCCCCCCCCTCCCCCCCATGTTGCTGGAGGAAATTGCCCCAAGTCTTATCAACACGAGTTTTTTTTTTTTTATCGTGCTTGCTTGCCTGCGTGTATGTGGCGCTGGGTGTATTTTCGTTCTTTTGTCTCTGTGAGTTTTTTTTTTTTTTTATCTTGTATTTCGTCTCTTTTTATATTTCTTTTTTTTCTTTGTTTTCTATTCTTCGCTCCGTTGTTCTCTCCTTCTCTTCTTTTCTTACTTCCCTCCTTCCGTCTTTCCTCCCTCCCTCTCTTCTCTTCTTTCCTTTCCTCCCTCCCTGCCTCCTACCTCCCTCTCTCCCTCCCAGCCCTCTCCTTCCCTCTTTCCTCCCTCCTCCCTCCTCCCTTCCTTCTCCTCCCTCCTCCCTCCCTCCCCTCCTTCCTTCCCTCCCTCCCTCCCTTCCTCCCCTCCTCCCCTCTCTCCCTCCCCCCCTCCCTTCCTCCATACGTACTATCTGCTTAAAAAAAACAACAACAGCAAACTAAGACAAATATCTCAAGAAAAAAAACAAAAACGGAACAATGTTTCTTTGTAATTAAACGACACTTCCGTCCGATATCAAGATAAGCCTTATCAGTGTCGGCGCCAGAGATAAGAAAAGTGTTGCCGTTTGCGCTGTCAAATATTTTTTTTTTCTTGGGTCTTTGGTTGGCGAATAAACTAGTTTTATTCTTGTGTGTTATTGTTGTTTATTGATTATTGTCGTTGTTGGGATTTCGTGAATGTTACTGTTGTTTTTATTGTTTGCATAATCATTAATTTGTTTATATGTGTATATAATTGTTTGTTTGTTTATTTGCATAGTTGTTAATTTGTTTTTATACATTATTAGTTTATTTATCTAATTATTTATATAATTATCTGTATATTATTTATTTATATAATTATTTGTATATTATTTATTTATATAATTATCTGTATATGTATTTTTGTATATAATTATCTGTATATTTATTTATTTGTCTGTTTATGTGCAATTACGTAAACGCGTTTGGTGTTGCGGGGAGGAAAAGGGGGGGGGGGGTATTCACTAAACATTTTTGCTTCGTTTTGTTTATGTCTGTGTTATTTACTGGTGATTGGTGCTTCGAAGCTCGTAATTATATTCAGAGTTACTTTATACCGATTCGTGGGATTTTTTTTCTGTCGTAGGCCTATATAATCCGGGATTCAGTTTTTGACCGGTTCTTTGCGGTTTCGTATTTGAGCGGCGAGTCAGTGGCGGACGTCGGAGCTGTATTTACCTGAACCTCCTCCTCTTACTCTTCCTCGTCCTCCTACTCTTCCCCCTTACCCCCATTCCCCATTCCTCCTCCTGTCTTCCTACCGCTTGCTCGTTCTTTCTCTCTTCTCTCCTTCGCTTCCTTAACTTTCCATGTTATTTGGTTTCTCGTTTGTTTCACTTCGTATTTTCTGTCTACTCTTTTTACATTTCTTCTATTTTGCGTCTTCCCTCTCTTCTGCCTTTCCCTCTCTCTCCTTTCTTGTCCCTTCCCGCCTTTTCCCTCTCTCTCTCACTCCTCACCCTACCCCATCTCCCTTCCTCCCTCCCCCCCATCGTCTCCCCTTCCCTTCCCCCTCCCTCCTCCGTTCCATCCCCTCCTCCCCCCATTCCTCTCTCTCCCCCTCCCCCCCTCCAACTCGGTCGCTCGGAAGTCAGGTGTTTTAGAGTTTGTGCGTGTCTGGGAAAGGGTGATGAGCCTCCCTTAGTCTGTTATGTACCGCGCTGGTGTTCGTGTGCGTTGGAGTGTACCCTTATACAGAGTTACTGAGGAGTGCGCGGGAAAGATTTCGATTTGTTTTGTGTGTGAATAGTGTTTTTTTTCTTTTTCAAATGTGTATGAGGAGGGGAGGGGGTGTTGTGTGGATATTTATTTTGTTTTATTTATTTTTCTATTTTTTCGAATGTGTGTTGCGGGTATTGTTTGTGGTGATTTGTATTTTTTTTTTAAATGCTTTTGTTTGACTCTTCTGTTTGGGATTTTGTTGTTGTTTGTATGCGGTGATTTTCATTTGTTTGTTATAGTATTAACGTTTTTTTTGTTCGTATCATTCGTAACAGTACTTGAATTTATAAATACAATGTCATATTTTATATTTTTCTTTATACAACAACAGAAAACATTACGTAACCCTTGATTCACAGCTGACAGTAACTCAAGTGTTTTGAAATTTACGATTCGCAGAAGTGGGAAAGGGTGAAAGGATATACGTGGGGGCCGGAAAACTCAACGGTGTAAAAAGAAACAGAAGAAAATAAATAAAGAGGGAAAAGGATACACCTAACATGAAAGGATAAGTAGATATAGCTAATGGGAAATTGATGATAATGATAAAAACGAAAATAAAGAGAAAATGGGAGTGAGGTGGGGGGGGGGCGCCGAGAGAGAGAGAGAGAGAGAGAGAGAGAGAGAGAGAGAGAGAGAGAGAGAGAGAGAGAGAGAGAGAGAGAGAGAGAGAGAGAGAGAGAGAGAGAGAGAGAGAGAGAGAGAGAGAGAGAGAGAGAGAGAGAGAGAGCTGTGGTATTGATGCATCAGATGTCAGGTTGTGTGTGTGTGTGTGTGTGTGTGTGTGTGTGTTGTGTGTGTGTGTGTGTGTGTGTGTGTGTGTGTGTGTGTGTGTGTGTGTGTGTGTGTGTGTGTGTGTGTACGTACGTGTGTGTACGTGTTCAGTTCTCACGTTTTTGACAAGTGTGTAGGTACGCGTACTGGTGTTTAGAGATGTGTATGTATGTTCGGACACGTACACGATTGGAAGCACAAATACATATTGCACACACACACACATCACACACACACACACACACACACACACACACACAACACACACACACACACACACACACACACACACACACACACGCACACACACACACACACACACACACACACACACACACACACACACACACCANCCTTTCTTACTTCCCTCCTTCCCCCTCCTCCCTCCTCTTTCCCTTCTTCCTCCCTCCTCCCTCCCTCCCTTCTCCCCTCCTCCTTCCCTCTTCCTTCCTTCCCTCCCCTCCTCCCTCCTTCCCTCCCCTCCCTCTTCCTCCATACGTACTATCAGCGTATTTAAAAAAAAAAAAACAGAAGACAAATATTACAAGAAAAAAAACAAAAGGAACAATGTTTCTTTGTAATTAAATGACACTTCCGTCCGATATCAAGATAAGCCTTATCAGTGTCGGCGCCAGAGATAAGAAAAGTGTTGCCGTTTGCGGTGTCAAATATTTTTTTTCTTGGGTCTTTTGGTTGGCGAATAAACTAGTTTTATTCTTTGTGTTATTGTTGTTTATTGATTATTGTCGTTGTTGGGATTTCGTGAATGTTACTGTTGTTTTTATTGTATTTGCATGATATTAATTTGTTTATGTATTATATAATTGTTTGTTTGTTTATTTGCATAGTTGTTAATTGTTTTTATACATTATTAGTTTATTTATTATATTTATTATATATTTTATGATAATCTGTATTATTTATTTATATAATTTATGTATATTATTTATTTATATAATTATCTGTATATGTATTTTTGTATATAATTATCTGTATATTTATTTATTTATCTGTTTGTGTGCAATTACGTAAACGCATGCATGTTTGGTGTTGCGGGGAGGAGAGGGGGGAGGGGGTATTCACTAAACATTTCTGCTTCTTTTTGTTTATGTCTGTTATTTACTGTGATTGGTGCTTCGAAGCTCGTAATTATATTCAGAGTTACTGTATACGATTCGTGGGATTTTTTTTCTGTCGTAGGCCTATATAATCCGGGATTCAGTTTTTGACCGGTTCTTTGCGGTTTCGTATTTGAGCGGCGAGTCAGTGGCGGACGTCGGAGCTGTATTTACCTGAACCTCCTCCTCTTCTCGTCTCCTACTCTTCCCCCTTACCCCCATTCCTCCTCCGTCCTCCTCCTGTCTTCCTACCGCTTGCTCGTTCTTTCTCTCTTCTCTCCTTCGCTTCCTTTCCTAATTTCCATGTTATTTGGTTTATCGTTTGTTTCACTTCGTATTTTCTGTCAACTCTTCTTACATTTCTATTTTGCCTCTTCCCTTTTCTTCTGCCTTTCCTCTCTCCTTCTTGTCCCTTCCCGCCTTTTCCTCTCTCTTCCTCACTCCTCTTCCTACCTCCCTTCCTCCTCTCTCCGCCCTCACCCCCCTTCCTTCCCCCCTCCTTCCTCGCTCATCCCTCCTCCCCATTCCTCTCTCTCCCCCTCCCCCCCTCCAACTCGGTCGCTCGGAAGTCAGGTGTTTTAGGTTTGTGCGTGTCTGGGAAAGGGTGATGAGCCTCCCTTAGTTGTGTTATGTACCGCGCTGGTGTTCGTGTGCGTTGGAGTGTACCCTTATACAGAGTTACTGAGGAGTGCGCGGAAAGATTTCGATTTGTTTTGTGTGTGAATAGTTTTTTCTTTTTTCAAATGTGTATGAGGGGAGGGGTGTTGGGTGGATATTTATTTTGTTTATTTATTTTTCTATTTTTCGAATGTGTGTTTGGGTATTGTTTGTGATGATTTGTATTTTTTAATGTTTTTTTATTTGAATCTTGTGGATTTTTGTTTTGTTGTATGCGGTGATTTTTCATTTGTTTGTTTTATAGTATTAACGATATTTTTTTTTTTGTTCGTATCATTCTTAACAGTACTTGAATTTATAAATACAATGTCATATTTTATTTTTTCTTTATACAACAACAGAAAACATTACGTATCCTATGATTCTCACAGTGACAGTAACTCAAGTGTTTTGAAATTTACGATTCGCAGAAGTGGGAAAGGGGTGAAAGGATATACGTGAGGCCGGAAAAACTCAACGGTTTTAAAAAGAAACAGAAGAAAAAAATAAAGAGGGAAAAGGATACACCTAACATGAAAGGATAAGTAGAATAAGCTAATGAGAATTGATGATAATGATAAAAACGAAATTAAAGAGAAAATGGGAGTGAGGTGGACGCCGAGGGGGAGGGGGGAGAGAGAGAGAGAGAGAGAGAGAGAGAGGAGAGAGAGAGAGAGAGAGAGAAGAGAGAGAGAGAGAGAGAGAGAGAGATGAGAGAGAGAGAGAGAGAGAGAGAGAGAGCTGTGGAGAGAGGAGAAGGTGTGTGTTGTTGTGTATTGTGTGTGTGTGTGTGTGTGTGTTTGTGTGTGTGTGTGTGTGTGTGTGTGTGTGTGTGTGTGTGTGTGTGTGTGTGTGTGTGTGTGTGTGTGTGTGTGTGTGTGTGTGTGTGTGTGTGTGTCTGTTCAGTTCTCACGTTTTTGACAAGTGTGTAGGTACGCGTACTGGTGTTTAGAGATGTGTATATATGTTCGGACACGTACACGATTGGAAGCACAAACACACATTGAAACACACACACAACACACCACACACACACACACCACACACACCACACACCACACACACACCACACACCACACACACACACACACACACACACACACACACCACTCAGCAAGCCGTATGTGTTATCCTTATTTTACGTCCAGGAAGCCATTGATGATTCGACATTGATAGCCAGGGGGAGGGGAGGGGGGGGGCTACAGATGGTCTCTGACCCTTCAATGCGCACCTTCCCCCATACCCTCTCCTCCCTCATATCCTCCCCTTCCCTCATATCCTCCTCTCCTCCCCTTCCCCTCATGTCCTCTCCTCCCTTCCCTCATATCCTTCCTCCCCTTCCCCATTCATCCATACTCCCCTCATACTCCTTCATCCCCCCCTTTCCACATATCCCCTACCCCCTTCCTCTATATCCTCCCTCCCCCTTGCCCCTTCCTCCCCTCTATCCTCCCTCCCTTGCCCCCTTCCCCCCCTTTCCCCAATTCCCCGACGACTCAACATTGCACTCGCGACAGGGCCGGCCGGCGGGAGGGAGGACGACCTGCCAAGTCGTTGCGTGGAGGTCGTCGCGATTTTTTCTTTACCTTTTTTTTTGCGTGGTTTAAAAGGGCATTGCGTTTGGCGTAATTTTTTGGGTTGTCGATAACCGTGTTGTGATTTTTGTTTGCAGGTGTTACCATATATCAGAGAAAAGAAAATATTGATCAGAGATAACGTTTTTTATCAGTGGTGGTGAAGAAAAAAGAGAAAAAGATTTATAAATAGACAGCTGTTGGAGTGTTGATCTCGGTGGCGCTGCCATGTGAGTCCCAGGCGTCGTCAGTCGCTCTTTCGTTGTTTGTCTGAAGGAACCCGAAGAGGCGCCCGCCCGCGCCGGGATGGGCACGCGCCGCGACAACCGGCTGTCGGAGGGCGGCCCGTGCGGCCCTCCGCGCCAAGCAGGACCACGACCGCAGGAACCAGGAGCTCGCGAAGCAGCTTTCGAGCGGAACGGCGCCCTCCAAGCGGCCTCCTCCCTCCTCGTCGTCCTACATGTCCAAGTCCTTGACGCTCGAGCTGGAGAAGGGCCTGCAGGGGTCGTCCGGCAGGTCGCAGGGGAAGAAGTCGTACCTGCGGCAGACGTCGAGCTCCGTGATGAGGAGCAGCCTCGGCGGCGTCGAGAAGGACTCCCTGGCGGACGCCCGGAGGAGGAAGCGCGACTCCAGTCCTTCCAAGGCCGCCAACAACCGCCTGGAGAAGAAGGCCAGTCCGGGCGGCGACGGCCCCGGCGCGCCGACGTCTTCGAGAGGCTGTCCAAGGTGGACTCGAACAAGGGGCCCGCCGGACACAGGCCCCGCGACCGCAGTCCCCAGAAGGGCGGCCGGAGGAGCCCCCAGGAGAGGAGCGGCCAGAGCGCCCGCAAGACGAGCTCGCAGGGCAGGAGGAGGGACGGCAGCCCGGCGAGGGGCGGCGGCGAGGGCAGCCGAGGGGACAAGCGAGCCCTGGTCGGCGGGGGCGGCGGCAGGGCGTCCCCCCGCCCCCAAGAGCGACGAGGAGGTCGACTCGTCCGCCGAGAAGCTGGCGCAGGAGAACATCCCCGAGTCGGTCGACAAGGACCTCGACGACTCGGTGCGGGCGAGCGGGGCGCCCCGCACGCCCCTCTCACCGGGCGGGCGAGGCTGCCCCGCGCCCGGCCANATGAAGAAATAATAGATAATTATTTATTAGTGCCTCATAACTACTAAGTATAACAATAATTAATCTATTATAAATAACAATAATAGTGAAATTTATTAAGTAATTATATATGTATAAAATATATATAATATAAAGATATATCACATTACTTTATTATATACTCAAACACAATATTAACAGTATTCTCATTGCCTTACACTCACGTTTAATCATGTCCAGTATAGAATATAATAGAGATGCTATAATCTTATCGAGACTTATCATTCCTGTTCCTTTCGTGTGCTGCTGTGTGTGTGTGGTGATATTCTCGTTGTCCTCTCTCGTGGGGATCCTCCCCCAGTTGGGTGTGTACAGTTTCTTAGCCTCTCTCTTTTTATACTATATCTATGATATTGCGATGGGTCTTCCCGTACAACATAAGCTTATACACACACCATCAACTCACGCAACTCCATCATTAATTGGTTATAACATCTGCTACCGACAACTACACGACACCTACACATCACAATTTTGCACTACTACAACAAAATTATCACAAAACAACTCATATTATTATAATATTATATTACTATGTAATTTAATTATTTAAAACCTATTTATTATATTGTTATATAATCTATTATCTATAATACGTTAAATTATAATTACAAGTTATGTATTTGTATTGGAGTTATTAATACAAAAATTACATTATATGAAAATGGAATTACAACTCCCAGAAACAAAACACATAGATAATGAATAAAATACTCAAATCATTACACTATATACACCTGACAACTTAATTAGCATACATTATTAAATTTATGCTATACACCATACACGCAACTCCATGAGGAGTTATAAAAGACCAGAGCAAAATGGGGGGGGGTTCGACCTTTTCTATGAAAAGGCTAGATTTTGCCGTTTTTTCGACCTTTTGGGATTTTTATTAGTTTTACTCTTTAATTCATTACAATGGATTCTAATGATTATTATTATTCAGATCCCACCCTGGATCCTTGAGAATCCATTAAATATATCCAATAAATCATCATATATAAATACTCAATATTTTGAAGAAAAAAGAAAAATCGCAGTTATAATGATCTCGCTTGCCTACTTTGACCAGGTGCTCGTCGACGCATACACTTATTTACTGCGGCGAGGGGTGCATATGATCAAATTCATAGTTTATAATTATTTAGGCATTTACTTGCACATTCTTGGCAAACGATAAATGTTGCAGAAACAAACAAAAAAGTTGTAGAAGGAAAGTGACTGATTGCAAGAGCACGAGGAAATGTCGTAAAACTGTTTATATTTGGAGTGATGTTCAGTTAAATAATAATACACTGGGAAACTATATGTGAATATTGTACTAGAGTGTTCTCTCATTTTATCGCAATTTATCTTTTCTTATCTTTATCTATTATAGAGTTTTCATTATTTCTCTTATTTCTTTATCATTTATACTTTTTATTTATAACATTTTTTTTTTATTATTTATTATTTTTTTAATGTGGCTTTAAATCTTCTCTTGTCTGTCTTTCTGCTTCATTCAGTTATTCCTTACTTCCTTTCTTTTTTTCATTATATATCCATCCTTGGAAGTAACTAACCTATTCATATATGATAAATTCCAGTCCACATGTAATAACCGTAATCTTACGTTACACTCTCTCAGATTAGTATCACATCTTATAATACCATTTACAAATAAGGACTACATTTTTCAATATATCAGTCAGTAATTTTAATTCACATAAATTTCATTACATCATTATCAGTGTCTAATTCATTACCAATTACTTATTTATCAGGTCTCTCCCTAATTTCTCATTTCCATCGCATTTCACAGATATATTATTTTTATTATTCTAATTATTTATTTACTATTTTACTATTAGCTGTTCATATTTATACTTACCAGTCATCATTTCAATATACTATTTTATTTATATCCCTATTATCTTTCCTCTATTTGTGCTTGCATTACACTCATCGTCTAACTTAAGGATCATATGAAATCATAATGGAAAGAATCCGTCACAACTGATCATTTCCCTCTTTACGGTTGAAAATTTCCCCATAGTGTCACTCACAAAGCTCTCGGGATCATCATTTGGCTCTTCTCTCATGTATTATTCATTCTTGCTAACTCCAGTTATTTCAGTTTTCTTATCTTTTATATTACTAATATTTTTTTTATGTATTATATTATCGTTCTCTATCTGTTTAACAATTATTATAGGTGTCTGATTGATTAATTATATTGTCTCTTTTCCGCAAACTAATTGAGCTTGAGTGTCTCTGTAGATGATAATACCACTGGTGTCTCTACTCTCTTTTTATTTATTCTCTTCTACTATATATATATTTATTCTATTCTGTATGCTTTGTTCACTTTCCTTATTCTGAGTGCTTCCTTAGTTGGTCCTCCACGTTCTCACTATCTTTACTTGATCATAATATTATAAACTTATAGAAATATTGCACTAATCTATCTATCTATCTATCTATATGTATCATATACTTATAATTATGTTATTATTTTAGCAATTATTAATATATAATATGAGTTAATCTAATTATTATAAATATACATAATATCCTAATTAATTTTAATTATTTGTGAGATACTCATATCAATTATTTATTGTCCTTATTAATTCCATAATTATCAATTACAATTATATAATTGTTTATTAGTGATATAAAGAGTAATAATTTATATATGCAATAGTAAAAAATCCAATCATAAAATATACGTATATTGTAATTTAAATGTAAAAATGTTCCAATTACATATTATGATAAAATTATAATTATAATTTTAAAAGCGAAAATGGTTTTTTTTACAGTGTACCATTATTCTCTCAGATAATGTGGTCCGAGTTATTTTATTTCGAACTTTTAGCTACTTTTAATTTCAATTAATAAATATTATTATATTCCATATTAATTTATCTATTTCTAATCATTATTATGTCATTATTCTTATATGATATTATATACCTAATATACATATAAATATCATTACATATATCTAGTCCAAGAGGTTATTCATTTATCATTAATCTATTAATTATTATTGACAGTGAGTATTATATCCAATTAATGATATATTATTTATATATTGAAATATATATAAAAATATATATACTAATTATTATCTAGTAGTTTTATCTATACTCTATTTCAACTATATATATATAACTATTTATCTTAAAATAAATGATTAATAATAATAATACTCATATTAAATAATGATTAAATTATTTATTAGATATATATAAATCGTAATCAATATTACATTATCATCATTATAATATCAAAATGACTTATCACTTTATCGTAATTAATAATTATAATAATATATAGCTAAATTACTTTAATATCTCTGTATTAGTTGAGTTGCATTATGTTATTATCATGTTAAGTCGTTGAGAAAGTTAACATAAGTAGTCCATATAGCTAGAGGTTAAATTTATTCGCTATTAATATGCAGTATATTATCAAAAATTACATTATAATTATCATTTTGTTCATTGTTATCTGCCTCATTATCGTGATACCGAGACATACCATGCTCGAGATGCCCCATGCGAGTTATTTTTCTGCGAGTAGAGGACGACTACATGTAACACGCACCTAGATTGTACAACCCGCCTCGAAATGGCAAAATCTCCCCGCATGAATTTCATACTGATACCTCAAGATGGTTAAACAGAGTGGCAAAGTACACCTGAGGGATCTTCTTTTCCATCTGTGAGAGTATGCAGGAGAAGAGAGGCGATAAGGGCAATCTATGCACGCTTAGGACGACATTTTTATCTTCATGAGACTAGGCACTCCTCCAGGCGACATAGATCTCTCAGGCAAAGCAACTCGGATTAGAGGAGAAGTATCTCGTGGGAAAGTTTCCTGCCTGTGGTCTGTCTAGTGATCTATTGAAGTGCTGAGGGACTATTTGTCGAGTGGCTGTGGTTTTAGCGGAGAGCTCTGCTGATGGTGTGGGTAGGATAGTAGAATGACTCTGCCTGAGTGAGTATTGATGATCGAGCAATGTATGGCAGGGTAATGAAGTCCGCGATAATGCGAAACGGATGCCAAAAAGGACCTGTCGGAGGGCAGACACTAGAAGAAGAATGCTTTTATAGACTAGTATTATCATAAGATTTAGATACTCCATACCAAAACATTCAATCATTCATATCCACTATATTGCAGATATAAGAATTTTTTAATGCTGATTATTACTCAGTCCTTTTCTCATCATTCACACACAACTTCACACAATTTCTATATCACACATCTCACACACAACACATCATCACACACACTACACAATGATAAATTTTTAGAAATAATACACTGACCAACAACTACCATCCGTTATAAATAATGCAACGAAAAAATATTAATTATTATTTCTATTGTCATATACTAATTGAATACAATTATTAGACATTACTAACGACTCTAAATCTCTTCCACACCACATTAATAATGTTTGCTAATATATAGAAATTATCAAAATATTAATTCAACATTATCATTTATTATTATATTATCATTATTTATATGTTCAATTCTTCACACCTAAATAATTATTATCTATCAAATATATTATATTTTACAAATAACAACTAAACAATAAGATGAGTGGAAATTACTCAGTAATATCATTCACCTACATTAGCCTTAATTAGTTATATATCAAAAGTCTGTAATTAGCTAGCCTAGTAATATTATAATGCCGGAGTTAACTTATTTTTTATTTTCAGAAATTTATATTATTGAGGGTGAATTTTAATTTATGATTTTTAGCCTTTATTTATTATAATATGGTAACTAATGATTTAATTATATTATTACACATTATCATTATTTTATGTTCCAGTATGATTATTCAGTATGATTATATATCTTTCACACTCAAATTATAATGATTCACTCTATTATGTCAAGATTTAATCTATATTATCTTTTGATTATTAATTATTATAATATAATATAGTAAGCTG